TGCTGCCGACGTTTCCGGAATACAATTCGGACCACCCTGTATATTCAGTCTTAAATAAGATTTTGCTGCTATTGTTTATCACTATCTTTTATAATAGTCAGACTTTTAAAAATTCACAGTCCTTTACAAAGATGCAACCGGGGGGGCATTGAAAATGATGAATAAAAACGTAAAAATATGATTAGTGATGAGTGTATTACATACATATGTTTAAATAACGAACTTAAACTAAAACTAAAAAACAACAGATTTAAAGATTCACTGAAAAAGTAGTAATGTTAAAATTAAGTAAAACATTATCAATAATAATTATGCGATCGCACCTATCCGTAAAACAAGCAAGCAAAAAAAAGGATTCTTACGGAAAGTTACACTTTACGATATAATTTTTTAACTGTTAAAGGCAAACCCCATTTAAACACAAAACTTTTTAATACCTACTACTGTATTTAAAAGACTTTTTTTTAAATTACTAAATTCTTAGCCACGCTTCTGTTTTTCTTGGCTGTTGTGCGTTACGTCACAGATTAACAGGCCCACGTTTGCACCACAAGGCGATGCTGCAGACCACTAGGTAGACCGGTCGTAGAAATTTATGTTATACAACTTGTAGTCAATCTACACAAATATTATCAAAAACTTTTTTCTTTTAAAATGTGTTCAGATTTTGTAAAAGTATAAGTCAAAATCGCAAAACTTAAATTTGATATGAGTTTCTTAGTTTTTAACTAATATAGTGGCGAATTACAAAATTCCTTTTCAATGAAAATTAATGAGTTAAATAAAATAATTTAATAAATTACTAGCTTTTTCTCGCGATTACGTTCGCGTTACACCTCGAATCTTCATGCATTGATTTACATGATTTTTTACTTCTTTATAGAGAGCTAGTGAGCATAGATGTTTTTTATTTTTCATTTTTTTTATTTATTAAGAGCACTAATACTCTCTTTATAGGTTATTTTTTATTCTTTGAAGGATAATTGAGGAAGATATATTTCGTTATGATGTCACTAAATAAACCCTTGTATAACATTTTATACTGTCTGGTTTATAATGTTATAGTATTGCATTTTCGTAGAGCAAACTTTCATTCTCTATTCTACTCCCTAAGGGTATAAATTTCATAAATTCGCTTTACCTTTGTGCCAATTTTTATGTGTATAATCCAGAGGTCACCAAGTTTTATATAAATTTTTACTAACTTTACCCATTTGGTTGATGAATTTCAGAAATTTCTTCTAATTCTTTTTGTAGGATTTCATTCTTCTAGACCAAATAGTAAGGAATTTTCATACAATAAACTGTTCCGAGATAATTTTACTCTCTAAGAGGATGAATTTCCTAAAATCGCTTTGTGTAGCTAATTCACTAATGTCGTTTAAACGAACCTTTGTGCTAATATTTATGTATGTAAAGCTGGCGGCATGAACTCACTCTAAAATATCTAAAAACGTTATATATAATCTAACTGACACACCACTGACAATGACAAATAATTTATTTCTGGAGGTATTGTGTGTAGGTGTTTTTCAGGTATGTTTTAGTATTTAGTCGTTTTATACAAAGAAATAGCCATTAAGCACTATAAAAATACTTCATAACAAATCTACACATATATACTTTTCATTTAAAAAAAGAATCATCAAGATTGGTAAAGCGGTTTCGGCGGGATGGATGCAACAAAAAAACCCTTTGAGCTTTTATATATGTATGGATTAATTATTTTTCCAACATATTTTACTTTGCAAATTTTTATAAATAGTCAGACTCGCCAATATCGTACTCCGTGTCCAGCCTGTTTAGCCAAACGTAGGCCGATTCCTCTTCGACGGCGTCGTGACCCTGGCCGAAGGAAGAGTCTTGAAGACGCTCATCCGCGCATAGGAATAAGTTGACTGCGTAGCGTATTGCGTATTAATCGATTCTGAAATTTTCTATCTCGTGTATAACATGTTACGCAAGTTTATTATTTTAATCTCGATTTTAATAGATAAATGTGTGAAATGCCACCTGAATATCTTCCGCCATGACATGTTTTTACTTTTTTGTTATGGTAAAGTGATTTGTATAAACTTTATTCAATAACGTATATTTTCCTCCATTTGTGATTTTTTAATTTTAAGCGAAAATTAAGTATAACATTTTAGGAAAAAGAAACACTGTAATATTTAAAAGAATAAGAAGAAATTAGTCTTATTTTGAAAGGAAAATATAGAAAAAACTCTTTCTATAGAAAAAGTCTTTATACTAACCAGAATCCGGTGACATATACGCGGTCTCACCGGAAACATTACTTATTACTTCGCATAACTTGAAGAATATCTACTTTTAATAATGAACACTTCAGAAATACACCAGTAAAAACATTTATTATTTGAGATTAAAACTCGAATTAAATTATAAATATTAGTTACCTATGTTGTTATAGCTTTTATAGGCCTGTTTAACGACTTAATAAGTTACCTAGCGAAAAAATCTGTGCGCGTACCTACCACTATTGTTACAGGTTAATTCGTTAAAGAAATATGTTACACAAGTTAAAAACGCTAAAATTTTAATGGTATTACTTGTGCATTATTGGCCTTATAATGTAATTTGTTGGAATTATATCTTCTTTAAATATAATTAGACTTTTTAACGACTTTTAAGTTACCTAGGAAAAAATCTGTGCACGTACCTACCAGTATTGTTACAGGTTAATTCGTGAAACAAATGTGTTACATATTATTCGTGGTATTAGTGGTATTATATTGGAATCAGCTTGGCATTAGTGGGGCATTATATGAGAAATTTTGGTATTTAATTTGTATTTTTGGCATTACTTTGGCATTAGTATACAGACATTTGTCAGCGGTTTACTCCTTGTAGATAATCAAAAAGTTTTTTGATAAAATTTGCTTTTTATGTCAGATCATTTCTATGAAAAATTACATTAGATTTTTATTAAAGACGCTGGGTAATTAAAACATTGACTAATAAAGCTTGTCCACTTTAAATAAGGGGTCACGAAATATCCTCCTTGGAGTGTTTGGGTTAAGGGGTGTATAATAAATTAATCGTTGTTTTATAATAAAAACCATAAAACATTTATTTGTGAGTAAAATAATGCAATGGTTGGATATCTCTCCTTTATAATTAGGTGACTAAAAATACACTAAAATAATTAGAAAAAAAATCTTGTACTTATTTAGTAATTACGTCAATATTAATTAATTGACTTTCTAGTCTATTTTATTTTATGTACAAATATATTATTAAATTTTAAGCATTAAGTAATAAAACACTTTGTGCCCTCTTATATCGTAAGAGGTTACGAAATATACTCCTGGTTACACCCCTTACAGAAAACAGTGTAAGGGGTGTAAATAAATTGTATAATCACTGTTTTTTATAATAAAAACTATAAAACATTTCTTATTTGTGAGATTAAAAAAACAAAACAATGCATTGGTTAAAATAAGTACATTCAATACATATGTATGTGTTATAACATAATATAGCCATTACTATTATACTATTATTATTAAAATAATATGTGTGTAACATATTTCTTTAACGAATTAACCTGTAACAGACATTTATATGCCCAGTATATTTTTGTTTAACAAACCAATCAGGAAAAATCCAAAACCTACCGTTATAGGAGGTATAAGATGATTAAACTTATATAATGACAACTACTTATCGGATAACAAATTAATTACTACTGTCAGCTAGTTCAGCTACTGTCTAGGTAGAATATACCTAGCGTACCTACACCTACCTATGATGTAGGTAGATTAAAGCGTATTTTGACGTTACCTCTCACTTCGGTGTCACAAGCTGAATTTTTCAGGGATGGAAGTACAGTACATGATATGGGGACCCTTATTCCGAAAGTAGTACAAAATTAGACCGGGTAAAAGGGCACTATCATCAAAAATCGATATATTAATATCACCGTATAGAGAATACAAATACTTATTTTTTCATCCAGTACACAATAAAGTCTTCGTAGGGAGTAATTTTTTATAATTATTTACGAAAAAACATTTCCATTAGCGCTTATGACCAAAAAAAACTTTAACATGGATAATCATTTCAATCATGCGAAAATTTTGTTTAAAAATAGATTTTTTTTAATATAACTTTCATTTAACGAAAAACGAAGGCCTAAATGAAAAAAAGAAACAATTTAAAAGTTTCGCTTATGTCTTGACAAGGTATCAAAGCAAACCCCATATTTTTTGCTTTTAAACTAATAAAGATATATCAATAAACAATTAGCGATGTAATGGTTCTTGCGCGCGCTGGCCGACTGCCGCCGCTGCGCCGAGATTTCCTATACCCTTGTATATATGACGTCATGGTGTGGCAAATGTAGCATTTTAATTCGATTTGGGCTCCCTTATATAGGATAACAGAAACATTTTCAATGTTAAAATATGATTTATTTTTTAAACTTCATTAAAAACATTACCTTTTGTAATAGTATTACTTTAAAAATATATACCGTGTGTTCTTTGATTATTTACAGCTCCGCCATGATATCAATTCTAGAATTTATTTCTCGTGACGACTATAATTTAACATGGTATAAGAATGAACAGTTAAATAAAGTAATGCTACCCTATTTTTATATTCAGCAGTATTTTCTGATAAAATTTTAACTGACAGATATTATTACTATAACTTATTAAAAATTCATAATGTTATTTACTATCATTAAGGTTCATCCTGATTAAATATAGTCATTAATTTTAAGCAACTACGACTGCGTTTTTTCTCTGTGTCTTGCCAAGCGCCCAATCTTTTTAGTTTAGTTATTTAATTAGTTTTTGCAATAAATATAATTGATGAAAAGCTGCCGTATGCAGGGTTAGCAATTTGGTTTTTATTTATAATAAATTCTTGATAACTAAATCTGCTACCGCCTTAGTAATGTAAATAAATAAGGGATATTAAATAAAGTTATATTAGAAACGCCCTAGAGAAATAAGAAGATCGAAATGACTTACCTCCCTGTGGGAAGAACTGAGCGTAAATCATTTTGAAAGTGTCCTCTCGAACGACACCCGTTGGACACTCGGCCTTGAATCCTCTGTATATTCTTTTGATTTCGTCCTGCGTGAACCTGGTGGCCCGACAGAGAGATTCCAGACTGTCGGGTCGGTAGCGGGGCGGGGTTTCGAGGTCTTCTAGTTCTGAATCTGAAAGAGACAACACGTTGAGCTACGATAAGAGGTTAGGATAATAGAGGTAAGGTATGATTTAACGATTACCGTATATAGCAAAGTAAGTACCATTTAAAGTAAATACCTAATACAGTTTTGATTTCAGGATAGTTCTTTTATTAATAATAATAATAAATAACGCTTTATTGTACAAAAAGCCAAAATAGCTTTATCGACAAAGCATTTAAAAACAAACAAAAGCACAAAAATATAGAAATAATAAAAAATCTAACTAAGCATCATACAATTTAAACGTCATTAAAATTACAAATAGAACATACATGGACATTGCAGAACACAAAAAACAACGTATCAATAAAAATTTTACAATTGGAGAATTGTAAATGGTTATAATCATTTAAGAGCGTGTTATTATAAAATATTAAATACTAGATTTTTAACCAGTGTGTGAGATGATCAAAATTTTAAAATTCAAAATTGTTCAAGAATAAATTCAACAAAAAAGTCGTTTACCGCATATGGGGCTCTTTCCAGTAAGTATGATTTCAGAGCTTTTCGAAATGCGGGAAAGAATGAAAGCGACTTGATATCCAAAGCCAGAGGATTGTACCGGGTGGCCAACTAAGAATGAACGCCGGCTGTATCTCAGAAACTACTTATCGTATAACTTTGGGAAAAAAATTCTAATAAGTAAATCGACCAAGAGAAATCGCTGGAAATTATTCTCAAGTTCGAAAAATGTCCGCTAGGGGGCGTTTCTCTGAGAGCCAATCAGAAAACAGGGTTTTTCTCAAAAATATGCAGGTGAACAGGTATTTTAAATATTCCTATTGTAATTATCGAGAAATTTGTAATTTTTTTGATATAGAGTTGTTTAGCTCTAACTCATAAAATAACCCCAAAAAAGTTAAACTTGCTTTTATTAAAATAAGGATAACTCTGGTTTAGGTTAACCGATTTAAACAAACTAGGGCTCGTTTAAAAGAGCTTTTCTTCCTTAATGATTTTCAGTATAAATTTTGTTTCCATAATTTTTTTTGTGGTAGCTAGAGGGCGCTGCTTGACATCATAACAGATATTGCGCTTTTGCATTAAAAATTTAAATAGGAGGATATATTTCTCTTTGCACAGTTAAATAGAGCACAAGATTTTCAAAATGTCAGCGCAAACCGCAACTTTCTATCTTGTCTCTAACCGGAGACATTAAGAGAACAAATTATGTCAGGCTGCCGCTTAGGATTATATGGTCTAAAAATTATAGTAGTAGGCTAGGAAACAAAAAGAGATAAATTGGTTACCTCAAAATATCAAAACATTTAAGTTCAGTTTTCGTGCATCCGAATTTCGGGCGTTTTCTTAAAAAAGATGACGTTTATTACAGTTGAGGGTTGGAACCTTTGGTGTTACACAGCAAAATAAAAACACTAAATCACCACAATACACCAAAACACTTTTACTTTTACACTGGACGCGCGTTTCGCTAACCATGTTAGCATCATCACCAGATGATTATAAACTTCTTGAGTTTGGTTTGGACGAACTTGGGTTAATAGCTAAATGACGTTACATGAAATAACCCCTAATTTTCGGCTATACGAAATTTGGCCGTTTTCTGTTAAACACGTTTTAAAATTTATGACGTCATCTTTAATACACCAAAACACTTTTACTTTTACACTGGACGCGCGTTTCGCTAACCATGTTAGCATCATCAGCAGATGATTATAAACTCAAGAAGTTTATAATAATAAATAAGTTTATAATAAAATAATAATTATAAACTCAAGAAGTTTATAATCATCTGGTGATGATGCTAACATGGTTAGCGAAACGCGCGTCCAGTGTAAAAGTAAAAGTGTTTTGGTGTATTAAAGATGACGTCATAAATTTTAAAACGTGTTTATGTAACATTATCGTCCATCCACATAATTTTTACAAATTTCTTGGTTAATTGTACATAGGTAGTTCTCAGATTATAATGTCCGAAAGTCGGACAATCAATAATTTTATTAAGATTTCTAGGAATTTTGTGCCGCCATATTGCTTTTAACAGAAAACGGCCAAATTTCGTATAGCCGAAAATTAGGGGTTATTTCATGTAACGTCATTTAGCTATTAACCCAAGTTCGTCCTTGATTTCACTTGTTTTCGTGTTTTACCTGTTGTTTGTGTTATTTATTATTATATTATAAAGTTCATGTCGTTTGGGTCACTTTTCATATAGCCCCGAAGGTGCGAATGTTAACAATATGCACTATACTGGTCCAAATCTACCCTGGATGCAAGTAGTTCAGCACCAAGACATGTTTAGGCAGGAATTCTAGGATGGCGAATGATTATCTGAATGAAATGAACTACCCATAATTTCTAAGAGATGAATTGCCAATTTTGTTTTGCATTTTTTTTGTTTGCATTTTGTTTGCATTTGTTGCAATTTCATCAGCATGAATGCAGTCGGTGTAGATGATGCAGTTGGTGCAGTTGTGTCTCTTATTTTGCTATGAATGTGTGGGGCTTCTTGGATACCACTTACTTTAGTAGATAGAGACGCTGGAGCGGCATATTTCCATGGCCAGCTAGGTCATCGAAATCAATATGCCTGGGTTTTAGTTCATGGGGTCGAATCAAGAACGAACATGGATAAATAACAGTTAAGTGGTCTTAAAATGAAATTAAAATATATGTTTTGATATTTTGACGTAACCAATTTGCCTCTTTTTGTTTCCTAGCCTACTACTATAATTTTTAGACCATATAATCCTAAGCGGCAGCCTAACATGATTTGTTCTCTTAATATCTCCGGTTAGAGAGAAGATAGAAAGTTACGGTTTGCGCTGATATTTTGGAAATTTTATGCTCTATTTAACTGTGCAAAGAGAAATATATCCTCCTATTTAAATTTTTAATGCAAAAGCGCAATATCTGTTATGATGTCAAACAGCGCCCTCTAGCTACCACGGGAAAAATTATGGAAACAAAATTTACACTGGAGATCATTATGGAAAAAAAGCTCTTTTAAACGAGCCCTAGTTTGCTTAAATCGGTTAACCCCAACCAGAGTTATCCCTATTTTAATAAAAGCAAGTTTAACCTTCCCCCACCACTTTATTTTATGAGTTAGAGCAAAACACTCTATATCAAAAAAATTACAAATTTCTCGACGATTACAATAGGAATATTTAAAAAAAATTGTTTTCTGATTGGCTATCAGAGAAACGCCCCCTAGCGGACATTTTTCGAACTTGAAAATAATTTCCAGCGATTTCTCTTGGTCGATTTACTTACTTGATTTTTTTTCCCAAAATTATACGATAAGTGGTAAATTTTCATCCAATTATTGACCTTACTTCAGAAATTATTTGGAAAAAATCGAAATATAAATGAAACTTCTACACCATCTGCGAAACTAAGCATTTTAGAACATTTTTATACGAACTTTTTTACTTATTTCTATATGCAGAATATGCTGTCGGAGTTTCCGGAATACAGTTCGGACCACCCAGTATATAAAAATAAAGTATTTGAATTAGTAGAATATGATGCCGGGCAATTGCCAAGTCTTTGTAATAACATATTACAAAAATAAAAATGTCTAATATTGATACTAACAATTTTTAACAAAATTGTTGAATAGGTGCTTCAATACAAATTAAATAAAATAAACGGAGTTGGTTTTACATGAGATCTTACAACTTTTTGTAGTGGATGAATTGCGTTGCGAGACTTGGCATTTTGTTACATTCTAAGTTTTTGATGGGATACATATTTATTAAACCTAATAGCAGAATAAGTGTAAGGATTTATATTTTATCCCGATTTACCAGGATAAAAATAAAACAATTTCTATTGTGGAGTAAAACAAGAGACATACTCGAGATGAAAACTTGGTTTTTCTGTTATGTCATTCAAAAGCTGCTCCGCTAATTAAATGTTCTGGAGTACCAGTCTCGTTAGTAATGTGTTTTTCTAGAGAGCAGAATTCAAAACTTTCGAGTCAACTTTCGCACTAGAGAAAGTGACCTAAATAAAAATGGAGAACAAAAGTTTCTACGGAAAAAGGTTGTATGTAGTTTGAGAAAGAAGAAACAAATCTTTATTTTCTACCTTGTTTGATAAATATATCTTTATTTTCTGCGGAAAATAAGAAGTGATACTATTTTAATATTGATTAATAAACATAGGACTATATAAGTGTTTCTAGAAACTTTGACTTATTTTTTTTGACTATTTTTATATAGATTAGTATTAAAAAAAATGGGAATACAATTTATTTTCAATTCAAATAAATTTTATTAAATAAACTATTAATTATGAAATAAAACTTATCCAGTTCTTTAAGTTTTTACCAGTTAGAATAGATTAGATACTTCGAGGTGGCTATCGGCTTGATCCACTGATATTTACAAATCTGTTGTGGTCCTCTTTTAATCCTTAGGTTACATTCTCCAGTCCTATCCCATTTACAACTATTACCGAGAACAGCATATTTACCAGGCTGTCGCATCGATATAAAATGTGTTCTGTCGTTTCTTCTTCAGATTGACAGAAGCTGCACATGGCTTCGTCCGTCAATCGCATGAGCTTCAGAGGCCTCTTCAGCTTACAATGTCCTGCTAGTAGACCATTATCAGGCTTTGACTGTTTTTCTGTCTTTGCTTCTCAGATCTGTCGTGAATTTTGACTAAGACAAAATACCGACTGTGCCTCCAACAGCCTGTCTCTGCCTTGGTAAATTTCTTCACCATTAGATATTTGTTGGACATCTATCGTTTCGTGGCCATTCTCGTGACTGCTTTTGCAACATCGCAGGACGGTTCTGGGCCAATGAATGGCATTAATGAGCCTTGTTCGGCCATTTCATCGGTCGTTTCGTTACCCTTGTGACCCTTGTTACCCATGCCCTGGTACACAGGCTAATGTAACATTGCTACGCGTACCCAAAGTATTTAGAGCACACACACAATCCCACACTAATCTAGAATTGAACTCCGTGGAACCAAGGGCCTGTGAAGATG